TGAGAGCGTGCCCTACGCACACATGCAAGCGTGCCCCACGCACACTCAGAAGTGCACACGTGCGAGCGTGCCCCCACGCACACTCACATGTGCACACGTGCGAGCATGCCCCACGCACCCTCACACGTGCACACGTGTGTCCGAGCGCACATGCGAATGTGCCTCACGCACACATGTGCGTTCGAGGTTGCCTTAATATTTTTAAACACATTTTATAATTCATATTGCATAAATATTTATATACCAAATTTGAATACCTATATTTCGATGTGGGGTAATTCCCAAACATCATTACATGAAAACGAAATGTAAATATAGTCTATTAATCAGCAATTTATAATCACATGTAGTTAGATGGTTTGATGGTTATGATTTTGAATTTTTTACTTGAGGTCTCAAGGTCGAATCCCCTTGGGCACCCCCTTGGGCATGCGTTGCATTTGAATTTCCTTGGGCATGTGTTGCATTTTTGTTGTGTATATAGTGGTTGGTATAAATATTTTTGTTGTTTTCGAATCCCCTTGGGCATGTGTTGCATTTTTGTTGTATATATAGTGGTTGGTATAAATATAAATATTTTTGTTGTATATATAGTGGTTGGTATAAATATAAATATTTTTGTAAATAATATAAATGACATAAATAAATGAAAAATAAAAAAGTTAATTTTTTATATAACCGTTAATTTTTGTTCTATATAGTGGTATAATTATGTTTGTAAATAATATGAAAGGTATAAAAAAAATAAAAATAAAAAGTTTATTCTATTTGAAATCTCTATCTTTCTACTAACAATCTCATTTACTAAATTTATTATAGAAATCTAAAAAAATAAATTTTTGAAAAATTGAAGTGTTATTTCCAAAATTTGTACATATTTTATTAATTTTTTCATTGATAACCAAATGTTTTATTTTATTTATGAATTTTTACATTATAAATCATATAATGTACTATTTTTCTTACAGTTTTCAATAATACATTTTAAATTAGATAATATTATAAAATATTTTTAATTTATTATTATTTGTCTAATAAAATAATTATAAAATGTAAACTAATAATTATAATTTCAGTATATAATATTATAATTAGTGAGGTTGTAATAATTTTGGTTTATAGTTAGTTAGGCTGTAATAGTTTGGGTTTTTTTAGCGAGTTAGGGTTTTTCGCCAAAACGAGATTTTAATGGTCATTCTTTCATTGATTAGTCTACTCTTTATAATAGTCCATATATAATTATATATTTTATCCATGATAATTCTATGATTTTTCTTTTATGTGATACAAATTTAATAGTTAAAATAAATTTATACAGGGAAAGAACATCTCAATATTCACAAAATGATAAAAAAAATTAAAGTTAATAATGTAGTACGCTCATTTTTTATTGGATTCCTAAAAAAAAATATTTATAATGAATTTTCATACTTTTTTCGGATTTTTTTGAAGCTTTAATCCGACCGATTCAGCCGATTCCCGATCCGGATCGCCGATTCGCCAATTCGGATCGGTTTTTGAGGTGCCCAATCCAGGTCACCGATCGGTTTTTTAAACCATTGGTACAGACGATAGGGACTACTAATAAATCGGTTTACTATAAAATCGAAAATAAATTATTTTTATTTTAAAAAATCGGTTGAAAAAATCGAATAAAAAATACATATAGGCAAAAATACTTCATGTAAAAATATCGCCAATATATCGGGCTAAGTTCAAAAAATCGTAGTCAAAAAATCAGATAAGTTAAAACATTCGATATTTTGAAATTCTTAAAAATAAAAGTTATATCAATGCCATCAATAACTAATCCATCCATAAGAACTTTACTAGACTAATATAATTAAGTCAATTACTTTAGATGTCTCATTACTATTATTCAATCATCCAATATTAAATACATAATTAACTACAAATATTCAAAATTAAGCATAAGACATGGTAGAGTCAAAAGAAAAGTTAGGAGTTTGGGAATATGTAATCCCCAAGTCACGTAGCCATACACCATCATCATCAAGTTGAGATGTGTCATCATTTTCAGCCTCTTTGGAAACTGCTTCTAGCAATGAACCAAGTTGTTCAAGATTAATTGCATTACAATATCAAATTTCATTTTCACACGATGCAGTCTTCATCTTCGAGTACGCTCGTATGTAAACCAAGTTGGTTAACATAGTTGGTGTCAATATATTCATTTTTTTTGTTTAAGTTACTGCACTCTAATTTCTTTCGCATGTTGATGAGTTACATGGTTGGCTCAAAATTCGAATGGCAACCCTTCAAACCAGTGGAATGCTTTTTGCACATACTTCCCACCAACTCTTACATAATGGGAAATTTTTAGGCACAAACTCAAGATACAATTAAAAGTGGGATAGAATTTATTTTCTTAAAATACTGAAAAATAAATAATATAAGAAGATACAAAAAACTAATAATCAATAATATACTTACGAGGATGAGCTATTGACAATAATCCCAATGCAATACCATCAAATATATTTCAATCCCGCATGTGGTACTTCAACAACTTTAAAAATAATATAGTTTATGTTCTGCTGGATCATTGAATTTGAAATCAAGATAAAGCCAGCCTTCACTTCAGGATTATCAAGTTTAACAAACTCACCATATATTAAAGTTGGATTAAGAAATGCGGCACCAACATGAATGGGGTGAATTATATTTTCCTTTCGTCTTTTTTCAAATATCTTCACTAATTCAAGATACATAAATTCATTGCTATTGTAATTTCTCTTTAGTGTTACCCTTGCCCTTTCTTTGCTTCATATAAATATCCTATGATTGACCCCTCATTCTTACCCAAATGAAAGCACATTGATAAGATATGTCAATGAAGTGATTGTATCTGTCGCATCATTAGACAATTTGGACCTTTGAATTATTTATGTGATTTTTGTATTATTTTTATTTTTACTATAATTCATAGCTCTCCAATCAGATGATGTAACCATCACTCTCAAACCCTATTCTACTTGCGATGCAGATTGAACCATAGAACCGTAAATGAGAAAATGGTTTCGGGTTAGGGTTTATAAGGTTCGATAGTATTATGGCATTTTGAGTGCCATGATAAAAATTCAACTTCTTACGATAATAAAAATGATGTATAATATGATTAGGCTGTATGATACTTAAAATACCGTAATATTACTTCAAGTTATTATAGTATTTGAAATACCATATAAAATGCGATGTATATTACGGTAATATGACTACGGGGAAAGGTATTTGGATAAAAAAAAAAGCCGAAACTGAAAAAATATGGTATAGACGAAGTTTATAAAAGTTGAACTTTTTTTTTTTTCGATTAAACTAAAATTAAAGTATATTTTTGATAATTTTCCCATAAATTTTAACCGAAACAAGAGTTTCTCGATCTTTTTATTTTTTAATTCCCCCAGTCCAAAAGCTTTCACAAAACGGGATTTCGTCACGTGAAAAAGAGGGAGGGGCGCTTTCCATTGGCATATTCTAAGCCAAACGATTTCCTACTCCTGCAAGATTATACTATCAATTTACTTCCTCGTGTGTAACACATGCTAGCAATACCTTCTAGATTTTAAATTTGTAAATGTAATGTTTACAACTAATAAACTCATCTCAAAAAAGTAAACTTTGAAATAAACTTTTTATGTACTAAAAAAATAAAGAAATCGATATTGAATAGATACCGTCCAAATTTTTAACAGCTAGATCTAAGTATTAGAAACCTCAAAATTAAATATTTTTATTTTAAAAATAATCTTATAGTTGTTATGTGATTTTTAAAATTTTAAACAAAAATTATCATCATTTTAGCATTTTTTCAATTAATTAGAGTCAGCTATATGAATCATAGTTCTCTATTGATATCTATTAAGGGTGTGGTTTCTATAAGGTTGCAACATTAAACAATCCAATTAAGATGCACATTCAAATTTGGTCATAACATATAATTTTGATGTAAAATATCCTCAGGATTATCTCGAAATCAATTTTCACATCTAATTATAAATTTTAAAACTAAAAGAGTAGTTAAAATCAAGTAGATCTATAAATGTGTGAAAATTTTGAAAATAGACGGTCTAAATAATGTGTAATAAGATGAAATATTTATCAGATTCAATATCTTTTTTTCTTTCATGATCATACATCTCAATATCGAGATGCTCAATTAGATGGTTTTTTAATGGAAAAATGATCCTATGGGACCCTCCCCTATACATGTGTGTAGGACCCCCAATGATCATCCTTAAATAGAAAAATCAAGTTCTATACCGTGTGATAGTTTTTATAGAGATCTGTACCAACTTTAATAGTGATCATTTGAGATCCTACACATATAAGTGGGAGAGGGTCTTACATGATCATTACCGTTTATAATATTAAAACAACATTTTCCAATTGATTTTTGAGGGGCATAAGAATTCCATATTTTAAGGTTGCTACCTGATATAAAATTTTTCCATCAAAATACGGAGCCTATTGTACGTGTTAGTATTTTAAATTTGTTTTATTACTTATAAAGTTTTTTTGTTACCGTTTATAAGGATTCGGGTTGTCGTCTGAAAAGGAGAGCGTGGAGGGCTTTTCATTCCAGATTGACTATCAATGTAAACGAGAGAAAAACTAGAAAGAGAAGAGAATGCCGGAGGTTATTCTTCACATCTACGATGTTACAAACAGTGGTTCTGCTAAGACCAACAACACCATTGTCAACATCAATAAGATCTTCAAGGATGGTATTGGCTTAGGAGGCATCTTTCATAGTGCTGTTCAGGTTGTTTCTGAAACTTTTTTTCTTGGTTTTGCTCCTTGTCGAATTTTAATTTGGAAAGGATTTCTTTTAATAAATCGGGGTTACTTTTGCATGAAAATTTGGTTATTTTCTCATGTCTTTTCTGATCCATGAGAGTTGGATTCAGTTTGAGTTTGTTTTCCTTATGAAATCTGTATCCTGGTCGATTCCTCCTAATGTAACTGTCTTCTTATTTTTTTTTTCTTTTGAAATTTATGGAATCTGGGTTTATATGATTGTTCGCATTTTGGGTATGCGTTGTTCTGTAAATATTTGAGGTTTCTTGTGATCATTGTTGAAGTTGAATGTATTGTTTCTTTTGAGTTACATATATATTTTCTGCTTTATTTGCCTTTATTTTGGTTTAGTTGAGTTGGGTTTTCATTGAAATGATCTAGATTAGTTGGGATTGTCAGATGTGAAGACACTTCCTGGCTCTCTAGAAATGGGTATATTTTATTTGAATTGTTTGTTAAATGGTGTATTGTGTTATTTTCCTGTACTTGCAATGTTAGTGCTTTTGTGGGATTTTATTTTTGTATGTGTTGATCTATCTGCATGTACATTAACTGGACCTTTTTAGATTTTTTTTTAATACATTTAGTGGCTCACTATTTTGCTGTCTGTTGTGATTAGAATGTTTGTACTGCCCATGGAGAACAGACTGTGATATGAGTTTTTCATATGCAACTCGTGGCAAAGGATCTGTATTGCGATTCACATGCCTGCCCTGAAATTTGGATACATGAAACTAGGCTAAAAAAAAAAATGCCTTGGGCTAGGAAACTTTGTGCCGTGTCCTCAAACATGTGCTCAAAAAACAATCCTGCAGGAAACTTGGCAAGCCAGATTTTGCCTAGGTTTACCCCCGAGGCCTTCATAAGTCGTATGTAACCACCCAAGACTGATGGCACTCCTTCTAGACTACGAGTTCCCTTCCTTCCACTTGATTTTGAGTGAAAAGGTTGCAGGCAAGGTGTTTTAGGTTGCATGCGCTTCATCCCTTTTGGATCTCTCTCACAAAGCATATTGAAGAACTCTTAGTGCATCGCACAACCCCCATAGGCATGCATCACCTTCTCTCCCTCTTTCTCTAACCAAAACCCTCAAGGAGGAAGACATACCTCTTTATTTTGGGTGAAGAAAACAATCATGGAGTTGCAAGTTGTAGGGTTTCTTCTATCTTACTTCAATCTCTCAAACAAGGAGGTCGAAGGTTATAAACATTTTTCTCTTTTAGAACCTAAAAACTTGATTTTTTTAATGGCTCTCTTTCTATTTTCCCTGCCTCCCACATGACCTAGGCCTAGGTTTCCACATGGTGAGCTCTTTCTATAAGTTAGAGATGCATTTATACCATAAAGGGGTGAGATCCCCCTTATATATTGCATTCTAGTGAAAAAATGGATAAGAAGGGGACTTGTCTTCTAATTCTAATGGTAAATTCATGTTGTTAGAGAGCTAAACCCATCATGAACTAATGGTAGATAATGCACGATTATGCCTAGGAGGATTCCTAGTTCCAACACTGTTCTAGCCCTAGGTGGAGTCCAATTGGATCTTCCATAGGACTCTAGATTTAGTTGGTTTTTTAATAACTAACTCCAACTAGAAAGAGATTTCCCACCTTAAATCTAACTCCTAACAACCTAGGTTTGACTTAACTTGGATTTCATTGATTCAAGTCACATAACGATACCAAATTGGATTCCCACTAGGATGTCTAGTGGCCTGCACTTTTTGGTCCTTTGACCAGCCACGTGGTACCCATAGATAGCTAGTGGGGGTCCATGCTGGTCAACAAGCCAAACCATGTGGGTGACATAGACACAAAACACATGAGAAATCTAGGCCTAACATGTGGGAAATATTCTCCAAGGCAGTCTCCTTTGTTAACAAATTATTAATTCCGGGAATACCCGATCTATAAAATATAATGCAAAAAGTTTTTATCCCCGTTGGAGCATACTGTCCATTGACTCCCTCGGGTAAAACCCCATCTAGGATTAATTTTAGGACAACAAACTTTGGGGACGTAACCTCTTCAGCCCATGATTAACCTTACTAAAATTTCCGAGTTTTACCCTCTATGTACTTGGAAAAAATAATGTCTCATGATTGAATAGAGACCGTCCAATTTATAGATGGTAAGATCCAAGTGTTAGAAAAATTAGAATTCAAATTTTTTCTTTTGAGAATAATCATCTAGTACTTTTAGGTGGTTCGCAAAATTTCAGATTGAAAAAAAATCTCCCATGCAAATTTTTTGACCGAGAAAGTAGATCTACACTATGCTTGTGCGGGAGCATAGTCTATGTGCTGAAATATAATATTTCTTACAAATAGATCCTTATTTGAAATATGAAATTCACTGAACAAAGCCAAATTGGCTAAGTATAGAATTAAAAGTCATTAATTTTATCACCAACACTTAAAAGATTCCCTTTTAAGAACCTTAGAAGAGTTTACACTGAAACTAGATCTACCCTGCTCTCCATTGGCTACTCTATGCCACATCAGGACTTCAAACCAACTCAACATACTCATGACCCGCAAATACTCCCATGCAAGGGGATCGGATTGGCTTGTCAAAGATGGTCAAGGCATAAAAGTGCCACACTCCACAAGTATCTAGCGTTTTTAGATATTCTCCTAAGGAGAAGTTAAGAGTCTGATGTATTGACTTAAAAACAGCTGCACATGGGTGTCTAGGGGAGCTCTCTCAGGTGACATGCATTCTAACGGTCACACAGACCCAATAAAACTCAAGGATCACACAACTATGAGGTATTTAGCAGTACACATGCTATTTAGGATTCCATTTGGAAGATTTTCATGCACTTGTCCTCACAAGCCCCTAAACATCCTACATTGCAAAATCCAACAAACACATCCACCCTAGATGTAGCTGGTTTATATAGGGTACTCGTGGACCCTCTTCAGCATCGCGCATCATGGGACCAAACATAACCAGCTTACGGTACGGATACACTCATCTAGCTAAGGCCTATTCTTACGACAAGGAGAGAGTGATGGAGCACACGTGTCCCGTATAGAGCCCAACTCACTACTCATGCTTTGCTCTAGGTACACAACTAGACGTCACTTTCACTCAAATTGAGCGTAATCCACAAATGTTAAAGCATAAGGCCACATGCATGGAGAAACATAAGAGAGCTTTAGGCTAAGACTAAGTGTACATGCATTTAAAGTCTAGACATCTTATGGTTGAGAACTCTATTGTGATGACTATTGGACTTTGGTCCTAAAGTCATAGATCACCATCAAATACATTACCTTGAAGTATTTGGCTATGAGGCGCTAAAAAACAGTTAAGAGCGCAAGCGATTATGTATCAGCAAATTGTTTTCAAATCCTCATTGTTCATTTGAAATTTCTTATGTAAATATGCTATTGTCCCTGATGCACCCAACAAAGAAGTGAATCCTTCTCAATGGATGTCTTGTTTCAATCTCCTTGACATCCGTGTCCTGTGAAATTTTAGGGTGACAAATTTCAGCGTTTCTAAAAGAAACTCTGAAGAAGCTTCTTCGCTGTCTACAAACTGCAATTATTATTACTATTAATAGTATTATCATTATAGCTATACAATAGCAAGTAAATATGGATGTCATTTTTACTCCATACAAATTGTGGCACATAGATCCTTAGGGGAGTCACAATATAGGTGGGGCAACATGCATAGGAGTTACAACCATTATGCATAACTGTTATAGTTGGAAATGACCCAATATGTAATTGTTATAGCACGAAAATCACCCATGTTTCCATAACGGACATGAGGCCCATGCATGTTTCTCTAATGGACGTGTCGCCCATAGCAGTCACTACACTCCCCCTCCAGCTGGAGCATATATATCAGCTTGCCCAAAGTATCCTTTCGTCGAACTCTATTAGAAGCCTCGATAAGTATGTATGGCGGCTGATTCTTGGCATATTGTCTTTGAAGGGACCGTTTCTCTGATGAAGTGATAGATGACCTTATATGCTTGGTTCTTTCATAAAATACAGGATTTGAGCCAATATAAATTGCTGCATGATTATCGCAATGTGGAGGAATAAGAGCTGATACATTAACACCAATTTCTTGAATTAGAGAATGGAGCCAAATTATTTCACATGTGGCACTTGCCATTCCTCGATGCTCAAGTTCTACTAAAGATCGAGCTACAACACTCTACTTCGTAACCTTCTAGGTGACTAAATTACCATCCATTGTCATAAAGCAGTCACTGGTAGATCATTAATGAAGATAACATCTGGCCTAATCTGCATTGCTGAAATCTTGTACATCAAGGTGACCGTGACTGATATACAGTAGCCGTCTCCTTGGAGTAGATTTTAAATATTGTAAAATGCGATAAACGGTAGCCAAGTGATGGGAGCACTGTGCGTGCGCAAACTGGCTTGCCACGCTTACAACATATGCAATGTTTGGTTGTGTGACAATCAAATAAGTAAGTCTATTCATTAATCTCTAATATACATCAGGGTTCTTTAGGCTCTCTGACTGCTGATCATACAGTTTGTGATTAACCTCTACGGGAAATTCTGCTGGTTTGGCTCCAAGCATTCCTGTGTCGTTGAGGAGATCAAGAGTATACTTCCTTTGAGACAAAAAATAATTCCTTACTTAGCCCTAGCCACATCCAAGGAAGTATTTCGATGGACCAATATCCTTGATGTCAAAAACACCCGCAAGAAATATTCCACTTTTTGATTCTCATGTTCAGTATTTCCTATGAGTACTATGTCATCCACATACACTATTAGTATTGTGGTAGAACAAGAATCTCTTTAACAAATTCAGAATGATCAGACACTTCTTTGAAATCCAAATTGATTGCCATACTGAATTCTTGAACTAAACCCAAGGTGATTGTTTCAGTCTACCCTTGAGGATGAAACCCAGGTGGTAATGCCATATACCCTCTTACAGATCTCCATGAAAAACAGATTCT